TTCATGTGATTCAGAAGGACCGAAATGTATGACATAAAACTGTGAAGAATTCTACGAAAGTGATATCATAAATTGTTGAAAGAATAAAGTGAACAAAGTATTCAGTAAATATCCTCAAATATGAAACTTGCATTTTTTGATTATTTTGAAAATGAAAAAAATAATTTATAGTACCAAACATATCTTCGATATTGTCTCAGATTCGACCATTTTTCGCGATTTTTTTGCATATCCGAATAAATCGTTATAAAGTATTGATTGTGTCGATAGGAATGATTATTCGGTGATATTTGTAATAAACTTTAAATGTATGTATTAAAATATAAAAACTAATTATTTTCTTTTTATTTAGATCAATATTAATATCAAATGAAACAGTATTTTGAAAAGAAAAACAAAACTTCAGTTTTCATTATTTACAGTAGATAGGAATTAGAAAAACATCTTTTTCTTCATTGATGAGAAACTTACGTGAGTACGAAGAGAAGAGATCATCGTATACCACAAGTCGAAGAGCAGACTTAGTCTCAGAATTGAACACTACAACTATGTTTGACAATCGTAAATTAAGTCTGACGAATTATCATTTTTTGCGAGAATGGTAAAAATTTTCTTATTTGAATTGCTATAATCTCACGATCAATTGACCTTAATAACTCGTAATGAAATCGCCGGTTTTCACGTGATTAAATATGTTACATTTTAGGTTATAAATTAACTTCTTCAATTTTATATCGATATTTAGCATAGAGAATAGCAGGACTACCAAATTCATTAATACAAACAGAAAAAGCTTATTTGTATTTTCCTCAATAATATTCTCCACAGTTGGTTCAGATACAAAAGTTCCTATAAACTATTTTTTGGGCAATAGCGCTCAGATCTGGTACCACACCCACAAACGCATTATATGACGCATTAAATGGAACGTAGTCCAATACACAATGTGAATCACTTGATTTTTTATTTCTGTCTGTACAATGACGGTATGTCATGAATAATCGAACATTGAAGTAAATCCGTTTATCATCATGACTGTTGTTTATTCACCATACCGTAATATTCGAGCTGAATGACTATGTTCATCTTGCGATGATAAGAAAAAACAATCTTCGATTGCCATATACAAGTTGTTTTTTTTTCTCTTACGTTGTTCGCCTATACCTACTGTGCAAGCCTTTGCCTTTACATACAACGTCAAGACAAGCAAAGGAAAAAAAAAGCATGACTGTGTTAGTAATCATTCCTCTAGAGTAACTATGATGCGAAGATTTTTTTTCTTTCCTTGTGTCTCTCTTTCTCATCTACGTATGTTTTTCGTTCTCAACGAATATGCAGTTTTAAGTATATTCTCCGTGGTAATACACGTTTTTCTTGCCATGCATGATGTGCATATACATCATAAAAGGCCTCTCTTTGTTTTTAGTAAAACACCGAATACTCACTTTGTGATGCGAAGAAAGTGTGGCTCCTCATGAATTTCTATCGTTTTTTCGCGTTTTTGAGAGGCAAGTGAATGAAGTAAGGAATATAGACTTGCGAAGAATAGTATTATTTTCTGCAATTCATGCGAATATTAATGTTTAAAAATAGTATCGCGTCTATTTCGTAGAGTCTCTTTGAAAATGCATGTTTTTCTCACGCTTTGACGATTAATTATTTTAGACGATTAATTAAAACAAATTCAATACTTTAGTACAGCATTAATAAGAACAAAGAGAAAAATTGTGATATAGAAACAACATGTCTATCGCCGATATTCAAACATTGCTTGGCCACGATGTGATTCTACTTATTGGAGCACCATTGTCAGGTAAAGGTACGCAAAGAAAACTTCTTGCCAAAGCCCTTGATCGACCATACGTTTCATCCGGAGATCTTTTTCGTGCCGAAGTGGCAAGTGGAAGTAAACTGGGTCAACAAATAAAGACTTATATGGATGCTGGTGAGTTAATTCCAAACGACCTTACAACAACATTTCTCACTATCAAATTGAGTGATTCGATTTATCACAAAGGCATGATCTTGGACGGCTATCCTCGTAATATATCTCATCTTACCATCCTTGATGGTATATTGAAAAATCTGAATCAACGCATTTTCATTGCAATCTATTTGGATGCATCCAAGGCGCAACTCAACGCGCGTCGTGCACAGCGTGGTCGAACAGATGATGATGCCGACACTTTTGAACGTCGGTACACAGTTTTTCAAGAAGAAACATTGCCCTTAATTGACGTACTTAAATCAAGAAATCAACTTGTCAAGATCGATTCTCACTCTGAATCTCCTGACAAAATCAATCAACGAATACTTTCAGAGATGATTGCTCTGTGTAAATAATCTAACATTTGAATTCAATTGAACAATTACTATTTCAAAACAAGACTATGTCTAGAAGCTAAAAGTATATCTAATTTTGCATGTATCTATTGTTGTGAATTTTGATAGATTTTTGAATGCTTTCATAGCTTTTGATGCATTTATCAGAAGACAAAACAACAGACGATCACAGAATTCTAATCGATGAATTGTCGCTTACGTACCACTAGAAAAACACACCACCGATAGGAATGATGCCATATGCGTGCACCACTATTCATAAACAAATTATCTCATAGTTAGGTATTTACTAGACTGTTTTTTGAGAAAATAATTAGTAATATAAAATATGAACAAAAGATATCATTTCTGGCAAACTTTTCGAAAACTGTACTTGAAAATCCAATTAGAATATCTAAGATCTTCTGATGCAGAAAAGGTTGATTGATTAGGCACACATATGGTGTCAATCCTGTTTTTTTTTGACTCAATGAAACACTGTGCAAAGCCAACAAACTTGACGTTCTGGATGGAGAACGGATATGTCGGTCAAGTACTAGAGCATTCAATGTCTAACAAAAGGCATACATGTCCAAGATCATTGCTAACAATAGCGACCTTCAATTATTCATCACATAGCTTAATAAAAATTTAAAAGACTGTTGTCTCGCATTTGTCAAAGTTACCGGACTGTATTTTCTCTTGAGTGGTCAATACGAAATTTTACTCAAAATTATTTTTTGTGATGATGGTGCCGCTTGCAGCGACAAAATTCACACTATGAAAAACTTTTTAGTGTCAGAAATTCTTTGTTTCGATTATGCCAAGGCATTTTTTTTAATATTTGGCAAAGTTCTGCCGAATTTGCTCGAATTAAAAAATAATTACGTTTCGTGAGTATAGCTGAAGATATGCTCCTCACTCTCATACACGCTCACACTATATGGCTGGTTACTGTAGGATGTCAGTATTCAAAGAGAGCGATAATGGTGAAACCTACGTTGATGGTGTTGAAGTGGACAACACTCACTCTAGTGGTTCAATGTTCTCAAGATTAATACAGGATTTTATAAAAATTCGCGCCCTGATGAGGGTGATGATCCAGTTGTGTATTAAAAAAAGCCTGTTCACTTCGAATCTAGTCTTAATTGAATGTAACTTGGTTAGGATATAAACAATAGGGCTTTTGATAGGTGGAAAAATTCGACATCCAAGGAATTCAAGTGATGGATTGATGTAGAGTCTTATTTGTCCCATAATACATTTTAAATAAAAGAAAAGTGACATGTATACCTACAATCAGTACTAGAAGGTGTAGAATGAGAATAAAGAACATGAAATACTCAGTCTTTGCTTGTTTACTTGTTTTGATTACTTGTGCAGGGCATGCGAGCATATTGACTTTTCGAAAAAAAAAATATCAGATGCGCAATAGTATTGCAAAGAAATTCTATATTCACAATATTTGATTATAACTCTTATTTGTGTCATACTAAGTAGAAAATAAATAATGTTCAATAGGATAACTTCAATATCAATCGTAGATCAATACTTTTTTACTAACAAGTCAGCAGACTATAATAAATTCATATACAATTTGCTGTGAGAGAAGAATACTTTAAAATAAGTTGAAATATTACTTCTATTTTATTTGATTGTAGGAAATTATCACTGTTGAAGAATTTATTTGATGCCATCTGCAGTAGAGATGTAGAGCTCATTTTATGTGCTATTGGTGAAGCATGCCGAGATTGGAAAGAAAAATTCCAAACAAACAATCAAGAACTATTGCATGCTATTCATCAGTTATTTAAAAATTGCACACAATCTTTGATTCAGTTATCCATGCTTACTTTTAGTGACAAACAAACAAAACAATATCAGCTTAGTGTCGAACGCCTTGTATTCAAACTCAAAGAATTATAAACTCTCTTGGAAATTTATGGCCGAACCTTACTATGTTCTAGGAAAATCATAAGGAACGATTGCACCAGATAATAATTGAATGAAAAGTCATATCATTCAAGACATGAGTGGTCAAGGTCCTTCGCCAACAAGTTCATTGACATTGTCACAACTCATGTTTAAAAAAAAATATCACTGATCATAGAGGAAAACATAGGATCGACTGGAGTGCATCATATTTTTTGGGACAACGTAATAAAAAAGAAAATAAACCATCATCATTTCTAAAAAAGACATGAAAAACTAAAATCCAACGAAATACAGAATATCGATCGCCAAACAACTAGTGATATAAGGATCTCTTCGTACACATTCATATTCACATCTCTCTAATAAGATCTGATGAAAAAATTGAACATTTCTCCTCCATGCAGCATATCTTCTTCGACGTGACATAATTAGCGGAAGGATGAATTTCAATATCACAATCTTGACTGACGTTTTCCAAGAATCTAGAAGTAGTCAACTGAACAATATTAGATGAAGTCTCTTTAAAGGTTTCATAAGTTTTGTGCCACTGGAAAAACGAATTAAAATCTGTTTTGAGTTTGTAAGAAAAGATTATCCAAGAATGATTCAACCGATGAGATGAAAAGTTCTCAGTTTCTTTGAACAAACAATACCAGGCAATATTTGTCTAATGCCTCACGACTCAGGTCTACGTATGTCTTTCATAAAGTGATGAATACAGTCGTTCAATCATTCAAGCTGTATAATAAATAAGCATCGCACAAAGCTATCGCCTTAATGAATATATGGTATCCAACTGGCAGAATTATCGAATATTTAATATTCATTCGTCACATGTCTCTCTGAAAAAAAGATATTATGCTTTCGTTTTCGAGTTGCCTCTTCCGATTAATATTTACAGCAAGCTATTCTCGATTTGTTTTTGAGTAAATGGAACATGAGTATAATATATCTCCTTGTTGCTATGACGATATTTCAACCGAATTCAAATTAGTTGAAGATTAATATTATAAATTTGTAGCGGAAAACTAACATGGTCATTCAAGTCTACAGTTGAGCACTGTTCATGACAATAATGGCGTGTCTGAGGATGTGAATGTACGCATGAAATTACTGGGCGCCAATCTACTGCAAAAATAGTTGAATGAAGGTAATAAAAGAAATAAGTTTATATTTTCACAATTATTAATCAGATTCATATTGAACAAAATAACATAAAAATATGAGTTGAATGCGAACAAAAAATATATTTCAGAGAAAAATTGTCATAAAAATAAATATACTACATGCTATCCATCCGAGTCTCAATCTCATGAGTTTTTACATTGAATTTTAAGGATTGCTGTTATATCCTATCATATCACTGTAGAAGATATTGCATAGTTATATGAACCTGATGAAACTTTTAAGAAATAATCAAAAATCGTTGTCGCTTCTTGATTTCTTTAGTTTTCTGTTTGATTGAGCATTAGATCAAAGTGAATTTCTGTACTCTGTTGTAGCCATACATAACTACATACAAATCGCCATTTTTCTGATCGACAGCTAAACTTCCAAAATTTTCTGGATAATATTCAGACATATAACCCATATAAGTATGTTCCCACATATCAGAATAATATGGATTATCGATCGCATTTTGCATAATACTAATCTCTTGTCCAAATGCATTATATATTCTTAATGAGGATTCAGTGTCTAGTGCATATAAATTACCATGACAGTCACCAACAATTCCGAATGTAGGTACTGTCGTCTTGAATATTGTTTCTCCACCTTCTTTCATCTTTCGATACTTTTCGTACTTGTTTATTTTCAAGATCAGTTGCAAACAAGTTCATATTGAAATCAATATAAATACCCAATGCTCCGTTTGGTAAATCTCCTGAAATATCTGGTTCACCAAATACTCTTTTGAATATTGCCTCTTTATAGATTGGTGCTAGCCATATTCTTACATTAACTCCAAACGCTGCATAAATATTTAAATCTTTATCGATGGAAACACATGACCAGTGGCCAAATTCTCTTATTAGTTGTGTTCCATTTATTGATGAGGATGGTCAACTAACAATTACACCATAATGATCTGTATTCTCTTGATAGGTATAAAGTAGATCGTTTTTATCAATAAATATCCTTTTTAAGGAAGAAGCTTTAGGATATCGATCCATGCCTTGTCCAATAACAGCTTCCTCCTGTTTTGAATCAGCATGATATTTTAAAACACGACTGTTTCCGGCGTCTAGCACATAGAGATTACTCATACTATCCAATGCTATGCCAATGAGTGAATTTAATTCATTGATAGTCGATCTTTGTGATCCAGTTCCAGCTACAATTATTTTACTGGTATTGTATCTAGGAACTAATGGAAGTTGACACATTGTTGGTTTTATTTCACTATCAGGACCTAAAATGCAAAAAAATGTTTTCTACAATATTGATTCTATTTGATTGTACAATCTGAAAATGTTTCGACAAGACTTAATATCTAAGATTGAATAGTGTCCGAGATACAAATTTAAAGAGAAACAATTACTCCATCTAATGTAATTGAGAAAGTATATAGGCATGAATCTTCATTCTGACATAAAATTCTCTAACAACTTATTGTTTAACTAACTAATAGTTATTCAAATATATCAAATTACACTCTCTACTTAAGTAAAAAGCTGTCAATGTAATCTCTGCGATGAAGTTACTTTCATCATTACGGATAAATCTTGTTCTCTCTCTTTCTATCATAGCCCATTAGAAACCTAAGATCAGACTGACAAACGTGTCAACAGGTCTGTAATGGTCGTCTATGGGAGTAAGATGATAAGGAAAGTTCTTTCTTCTTGCCATATATTTCAACATTTGTTAACTTAACAAAATTGTACATACTATGGATAATCATTGATAAAATACTCCTTCAAGTATATCTACTATGCTAAAATACATTCAACTAACGCTTAGAGATTTTATTGAAAAGAGATATGGACGAAACGTGAAATTCAGTGCTAGATAAATATGAGTATGTATTTGTAATCGAAACATCTGTAGTCTAGATCCTATACAAAAGAGATTGTTTCTTATGATGATATAATTTTTGCGATGCTCATACGCAAAAACGATCAATTAAAAAATTCGTCACTACTATTGTATCTGTTTTATCAAACTTAATCAT